CCTGGCCTGGCCGGGCAGCGCGCACCCGGGAGGCCCCTCCGCCGCCGGCTCCTCTGCGGCCACTGCCGCCGTGCTGTCGTTCAGCGCCCTGGCCTCCGCCGCGCTGAGCAACGAGAGCGACCCCGGCGCGCCAGGGGCGGCGGGGAGGCAGGCGCCCGTCCCCGAGGCGGCCCAGCTGCTGTGGCACGGGGCGGCGGTGGCGGCCCAGGCGCTAGTGCTGCTGCTCATCTTCCTGCTGTCTAGCCTGGGCAACTGCGCGGTGATGGGAGTGATCGTGAAGCACCGGCACTGGCCTCCGCCGCGCTGAGCAACGAGAGCGACCCCGGCGCGCCAGGGGCGGCGGGGAGGCAGGCGCCCGTCCCCGAGGCGGCCCAGCTGCTGTGGCACGGGGCGGCGGTGGCGGCCCAGGCGCTAGTGCTGCTGCTCATCTTCCTGCTGTCTAGCCTGGGCAACTGCGCGGTGATGGGAGTGATCGTGAAGCACCGGCAGCTGCGCACCGTCACCAACGCCTTCATCTTGTCGCTGTCCCTGTCCGACCTGCTCACGGCGCTGCTCTGCCTGCCCGCCGCCTTCCTCGACCTGTTCGCGCCGCCCGGGGGCTCGGGGCCCTGGCGCGGCTTCTGCGCCGCCAGCCGCTTCTTCAGCTCCTGCTTCGGCATAGTGACCACGTTCAGCGTGGCACTCATCTCGCTGGACCGCTACTGCGCCATCGTGCGGCCGCCGCGGGACAAGCTGGGCCGGCGGCGCGCGCTGCAGCTGCTGGCGGGCGCCTGGCTGGCTGCGCTGGGCTTCTCGTTGCCCTGGGAGCTGCTCGGGCCGCCACGGGAGCCCCAGGCGGCGCAGAGCTTCCACGGCTGCCTGTACCGCACCTCCCCGGACCCCGCGCAGCTGGGCGCGGCCTACAGCGTGGGGCTGGTGGTGGCCTGCTACCTGCTGCCCTTCCTGCTCATGTGCTTCTGCCACTACCACATCTGCAAGACCGTGCGCCTGTCCGACGTGCGCGTGCGGCCGGTCACCACCTACGCGCGCGTGCTGCGCTTCTTCAGCGAGGTGCGCACCGCCACCACCGTGCTCATCATGATCGTCTTCGTCATCTGCTGCTGGGGCCCCTCCTGCTTCCTGGTGCTGCTGGCCGCGACCCGGCAGGGTCAGGCTGCGCAGGCCCCCTCGCTTCTCAACGTGGTGGCTGTCTGGCTGACCTGGGCCAATGGGGCCATCAACCCTGTCATCTATGCCATCCGCAACCCCAACATTTCCGTGCTGCTAGGACGCAGCCGCGAAGACGGGTACCGGACTAGGAATGTAGATGCTTTTCTGCCCAGCCAGGGCCCAGGTCTGCAAGCCAGAAGCTGCAGTCGCCTTCGAAACCGCTATGCTAATAGGCTGGGGACTTGCGGCAAGATGTCTTCTTCCAACCCGACCAGCCGGGCGGGAGGGGACCTGGGCATGTGGGCCCGAAAAAACCCAGTTGTGCTTTTCTTCCGAGAGGGACCGCCAGAGCAGGTGACAGCAATCGGCAAACAGCCTAAATCTGAAACTGGGGATACCAATCTCTAAAAAAGGATGGGGTGAATCTTGTAATAGCAAATTTCCACTCCTTTCTTTAACGATGCTGGAGTCCAGAGAAGATGGTGGATTTCATAAAGCCAAACATTTAAAACTAAAAAGACAGAAGGGGAGGGTTGGTACTCAACACCCCCCAGATATAAAAGACATAAAAGAAAATGTCCCATTCTTCAAAAGTGCCAAAAGGCATGTAAAATGCAAAAATTAAAACAATCTTAAACCACACAAATAAACATTGTGAACTGTTAAGTGCCGGAAAAAAAAAAAAAAAAACTGACAAAATTCACAATTCCTGAAAAGTTCACATTACAGGAATCACACTGTGAAACAAACAAACAAAAAAAAAAAACAGTGAACTGAATGTCACTGCTATTTGTTCAAATGCCTAGAGTTTCTGGAGTGAATAGAGACCCTCAGAGGTGCGTGAAGGCCCCTGTACATCACCAGCATTCAGCAAAACTGAGGATTCTAGAACTTGCACCTCTGGCCTGCTTTGGGTGCTTAGGTCTGAGCAGAGACATCCTTACACAGATTGGTGCCCTTCTTCCCTGCCGGCGGAACCTCTGTGGGAAATTTTAAATGTAGAGTGTTTTAAACCATTTCAGGATTTTTGAAAAGGTGGTTTCTTACTAGATACATAATTCAGTCTTACGAAGGGCCAAATGAAGATAAGAAATATGAATGCTGAAAACAGTATTCCAGGAATATACATAAAAATCAATGTACCTTCTAACCCAATTTTCCCCCAAGTTACGTGTCTCAAGAGACCACAGCTCTGCCCTTACTCTAACCTGTTGCTGTTTGATGGCTTGTATGATGCCATTGAATGCTTTCACATTTTAAAAAAATAATAGCAGAAAAGTCTTTGTCTGTTGAGGTACATTTGATTTTTTGATAGACTAAAACTGTATTTGAAGTCAAATTGATTGAATGAGGTGAGCAATGCTAAATATGTATGTATGTATGTATGTATGGGTAATACACACACACACACACACACACACACACACACACAAACGTACAATCAGTACTGGCTTTCCCACATGCCCTTAGCTACCAAACATGATTCCAAAGAGGAATCCTAAAAATAATTTGCGAAGTATGACCACATTCGTTGAATAGCCATAGAACTTCCTAAGAGAACCGTGCTCTCTGTTTAGAAGTTTGGCTATTTTTTAATAGTGGACTGCTGTTGTATAGGTATGATTTGCCTAAAATGCTATAGTCATTAGAAAGAGAATCAGGATGAGATTATGAGATGAGATATACATCCATAGGCACAAAGTTGGAGAGATACCTCAAGCAAACCAAAACTTGCAAAAACAAATGCTTTTTGCAATAATTCAGAAGCACAATTTATGCTTTGTATATGTGAATTTTCTCATGTTGAACGCCACTCCGAATTTTCTTTCCTTCCCTCATCCTGTTCCTCTTCAGTATTCCACAGCCTTAGCTGAATAAGTACTTTAAACTAGGTATAAAACACACCCGGTATTATGTGAGATTTCAATGTGAACTAGCCAGTCTTATCTTTTTGTATTTAAAGATATTCATTAGTGTGTAAGTCTTTGTGTGACAGGTGAATATTCATTATTTTATAATCAAAGATAGAAATACATGATTCCTGTCTTGATGAGCAAAAGAAGTTTTCCTTTTTCTTTGGTTATCACCACAGTTGGAAGTTTGTAAATTATCCGTATGGATTTTTTGCTGCACTCAGCTTAATATGCAGTGGATGAGATAACCTTTCCCCTCTGCCATACATTATCATAAAATATGTGCAGATGTAATACAGCTGTACAACATTTCATGGGTACCTGCCATCCTTGATTGCCAAAACCAAAATACTTGCATACTTTGGGGTATGTGAAAAAATGAAGTCACTTCTGGGATTTGAGGAGAAATTATCGATAAACTCTCACAATTATGAAATATAGCATAGGAATTCTGTGGCCATATGTAGAAAAATAATGAGATATTGGAGAAAGGCAGCCAGTTTGTAGCAGCCTAGAGCGTCACCTCAGAGGACCTGAAGAAAGGAATGGAACAATCAGTATGGCGTGGCATCAGCCTGCCTATGAATACACAGGAAGAAGCCAACACGTGGAAGTGTCAGGGTCATGATATGAAGGTCTTTAAGGACGAAGAGCAATTCCCCTCTACTGCTTCAGGGGAAGGAAAATTGAAGAAAGGAATGACCATGAGAGAGACCATTCTAGAAACCATTCTGTGAATGACTCTTAAAAGTCATATCCAGCAATAAGAGAGGGTAAAAAGAAAATTTCTGAACAATTCACAGTGGGGTGTGTGTGTGTGTGTGTGAGAGAGAGAGAGAGAGAGAGAGAGAGAGAGAGAGACAGACAGACAGACAGACACAGAACTATTCAGTAGTAGAGCGAGGGCTTTCCTTGCCATGTGTTCATCTACATAGCCCATGTTCACTTTTTGTGTGTCCTGCCCCCAAATAGTGGCAGGGGAAACAAGGATGAGGTTATGGTGTCACCATCATCATCATCACAATCACCATGTATTCGTTTATTTTTACTTTAAGGCAGTTTTCTGTCACAAAGGCTGCCTGCAGAAGACTTGCGGCCTAGCTGAGGATCTTGTGCCTTTTAAGAACGGTCCATAATGAAACCGTTTAGTTGTAGGGAAAGAAAGGCATGATCTTTATAGAAGAGGTTAAAGGAGAGCACATTAGAAGCAAACGATATTGTAGATAAAAGTCAGCAATCATTCTGTTCCCCTACTAAATAAATATTGATCTAAAAGGACTTTCAAATAAAGCTAATTGTTGTCTTTCCTCATGTTTACTATGAGAGTGTAATTATATGACTTAGTGGGAGAAAGGGAAAGAGAAACTGGAATATTGGGAGGCATTAAACATTATATATAAAGCCCAGAATGTAATCCATTGCCTCTCATCCTGCTCCCAGTTTATTTCATTTGGGTTGCAGCAATAATCATTAAACAGTCTGTAGAGTATATACATTAGCACGTTTAATCTTCAGAGCAACTTTATGAACAGATTTACCCCAATTTACAGATGAGAGATCTGAGGTGCAGAGGTGCTGTGGATTTGCCTGAGGACACACTGCCAACAAGTGCTAAATTCAAGGTTTGTATCTGACATGTCCTCCTTTAGTCACTATGCTGTACTGCCACTCTAATTTATAAAAGATGGTGGGAAACCTGAACGAGAGCCAATAGATGCTCCCTATAGCCCCAACTGGCCTGGGATTTTCTATGTAGACCAGACTAACTTCCATCTCAAAGAATCTACCTGCCTCTGCCTCCCAAGTGCTGGAATTAAAGGCATGTGCTACCATACCTGGCCTTCCCTTCCAATTTTAATCAACCCTATCAGCTTGTAGCATAAGTTTTGTTTTTACTTGGCAAAAACAGTGCATATATGTATATATATATATGTGTATGTATGTATATACATCCCTTATTCTGCCAGATGGAGAAGTTAAAATGGCAGCATTTGGAATATAGGAACTTATTTAATGCCAAGGCCTAGATGGACATCAGTTTCCATTGGTCATATACAGATATATGCATGCAGTTTATTTATCCCAGTTTTACATCTGTTCTAAGACTTGTCCTAACTACTACAGTGAAGAAGCTGAGTCCCCTCTCCAGCCTCAGGAATCTCAGACTCTCATTGTCTCCTTCTCCTGGCATCCTTAGCCTTCCTGGTGAATTTTCTCTCTCATGAACACTCAAACACATTCTGTCTCTCACATGAGAGGAAAAAAATATCTCCCATCTCTCTCTCTCTCTCTCTCTCTCTCTCTCTCTCTCTCTCTCTCTCTCTCTCTCTCTCTCTCTCTCCTCTCTCTCCTCTCAGCTTTCATCCTTCAAGCACACTCATCGAAAGAATTGCCTATCAATTTACAGTTGACTTGTCAGAATCCACAGTTTTAGGGACACAAGAAAATCATCCTTTTTCTGTAACTGGTTGTATTCTTTAATCCATTATTCTGCCAGATGGGGACGCTAAAATGGCAGCATTTGGGATATAGGAACTTATTTAGTGCCAAGGCCTTGGTGGATATCAGTTCTCATTGGTCATCCATTGACACTGGCATCTTTGAGGCATTTGTCAATCTGTCTCTAACCTTATATGCATAGCTTGCTGTGTAATCACCCCCCACTTCAGTCCTGATGACTCCTCTTCAGCTCCTCTCTGGGCACAAAAAGGCCATTGGTCCACCTCAGCTGCAGCCATACCCAACAGCTATCTCAGGCTGCTTTTAAAAATTATTTTGAAGTATTTTTGTGGGAATGACTTTTTCTGGGACACTCACCTTTTTTACATTGTAAACTAGGCCTTAGGCTCCTTTTGTAAGCTAAACATATAGCTTTAATCCCTCATGACCCTTCTTTGCCCCTGGCCAGAATAATGTATGTATGTATATATTGTAAAATCAAGTCCTGAAAGCGGCAATCATTAGGAGCAATGGATTCACCATTTGTGGCAAACAACAGGTGGGATTAGATTGATAACATCTGTTTGTGGCCTTATGTGCTGTTTTGGGTCAGTAGGGATCAGAAAGAGAAAATCCTTCTGTTAAGAAAGTTCCTCTTTTCCCATGTGATGCTGGATATACTGCTTCAGTGAAGAAAGAGTTAGTCCTTTGGCTTGGGGAAAACAGTTCTGAGAGCACAGTTCAGGAGAAACTGGAAAAAACAAGTTCTCAGAACAGATTTTATTTAGCTCTGCTACAGAGTTTCTCCAGGATTTCTCCCAGCTCTCTCTTTCCCTGGTTCTATATAAAATGTCCCTTTTGCAACAACAAATGTACAAGAAATGTATAGAAAAAAAAAAAAAAGCAGAAACCGTACTTGGGGCAGGGTAGAGGTAAGGGTTAGGAAGCAAGAAACAGAATCTGTCAGATTTGACAGATAATCTTTAATGCAGCATCAGAAATATGCTCAAAGAAGTTTTTAAATCTGGGTTTAGGTGGGTGTGGTGGTTGTGCCCTTTAATCCCCCCCAACACACACACCCCACACATAGGAGGCAGAGGCAGGTAGATCTCTGAGATCAAGCCCAGCCTGGTCTACATAGTAAGTTCCAGGCCAGCTGGGGCTACAGGAAGACCCATCCCAAAACAAAATGTTCTGCTTAAAGAAGTAAAAGAAAGCGTATGTGACACATGCACCCAGACCTAGGAAGGTTTAGTACCACTACAATTCTAGTTTGGAGCACATCATCTTAATAAAGTGGTATTCTAAGCTTTGTATCTTAGAAGACTTTAGAAATAAAACACACAAAGGACCTACCAGTGTTAGAAATGAAATCTGAGGTCTAAGGACTCCACCAGTACCCCACAAAGAACACAACACGTGGATAAAATGAAAGTAACCGGGCAAGGCAACTGTTACTTTTGCAAAAGGGTGTGTTGTGTCAAGCACACCCAGACCAGAAGTTGGATAGGTTTTTAATCCCTAATGCAAGTACTGTGTCTTTTCTCCATTGTTTGGGGTCCAACATTACAGTCTTTCTCAGTTAGCTAGTTTCGTTTTTGTTTTTTTGTTTTTTTCCAGAGCAAGAGTACATCTCTTTCACAAGTGGGTGCAAGTTTCTAGGTTCAAGTTGAATTAATACAGTTATACAATATTGAATTCAGTATAAGCCCTGTAAGACATAAAATTGAATGAGTTTTTAACCTTTAAAAAAGATCTCCATTTCATTTTAGAATATATTGTTCTTTGCAGAAAGATTCATTGTTTTTGCTACTAACACTGAGATGTTGGTGCATGCATCTCTAATCTGTATGTATCTGATTATTACTAGTCATAATTGGTTGCACTTGGATCCTCGGCACCTGTGTATGTCTATAAAATCATCGGGTAGATTTCAATCATAATGTTTATCACCTCTACTAATTGGCATGATGTAAATTTTCATGCTTCCTCCTCAAATATAATACATTTTTAAAAATTTGTGGATTTGTGTGTGTGTGTGTGTGTGTTTGTATCACACAGAACATCCCAAAATGTCTTACTCAACTATACACCCACTTCCCAGATGACACCCTCCCATAGCCTCCCTCACCCCACTAGAGCCCTTATACTCTGATATCCCTGCTACTGTCTGCTGTGTTGTCGGCACCCCCAGCCATTCCCCACTACTTACCCTTCTGGTGAATCTAGTCAGCCTGTCTAGAGGTCTTTGTTTTAGGAAGTTCGGCTGTTCCTCATATAGGTAATCAGTTGTCTATATTCCTTTGGATAAGATTGGGGTCTGCTGTTCATTTTCCCAGTTCTATGCTGGGTTACTGTCTGGGAGTCCCTTGGGCCACCCTGGCCATCAGTCGGGTTCCAAACAGCAGCAGCTTCCCTCCTCCCCAACAGGGACCTATGGACTTTTGGAGCCTGAAAAAGGGAACTGAGCTGATAAGCACCTTGGCCTTTGAAGTCAAGGGAAACAAACTCTGCTGAGAAGCAGCCTGACTTTCCTCTGATCTCCAAAGACAAGATAAGCAGATTCTACCTGTTAACCAGAGATTTTAGAAGCAGCTTTTCCCTTATCTTAGGAGGAAAAAAGTAAACACTTCCAGACCCAGATCCTGGCTGGCAGACTGAACGGAGCCAGGTTTATAAGCCCTGCTTTTCCTGCTTCCCCCTGCTTGATTTTTCCCCCAAACTTCTCCCCCCCTTCTGCACCCTGAAGGCCCCGTATATAAGTCCCAGCTCACGACCCGTGGGCTGACATCTTTCCCTTCCCCAAGGGAAACGTGTCCTGTGTGAAATAAAGCTGTACCCAGCTGAGAGTTCTATCTGTGCCTCGGTGCCTCATCCTCCATTCACTCACACTCCACCCCAAACCTTTACCTATCAAATGGTGCCAAAACCCAGCTCTTACTTCAAGGGACCTTGCACGTAAAACTTTAGGACTCACTTGTCATTATTGGCCGCTGCGAACACCACTGATTCGGCATT